TTTCTAGCTGTGTGACCTTGAGGAGAGGACTTCTTCTCTCTGTGCCTCAGTGTCCCCATCTGTAATATAGGCATAATATTAGCATCTATTTTATTGGGGGGTTGTGAGGATTAAATTAGAAAATAAATGTAAAGGAGTTAAAACAGTTTTAAGCATGCAGTAAGCATTCAATAAATATTAGATAGTATCACCCATACACATACACACCCCAATTCCTTCCTTAATGTCTTTTGTATCAACCCTAAGTTATCTACCCCCACTCATCATCTACTCTCCATCTTTTGATCATCAATTCTCCTTCTCCTTCTTCTCCTACTTCTACTTCTTCTACTTCTTCTTCTTCTTCTTCTTCTTCTTCTTCTTCTTCTTCTTCTTCTTCTTCTTCTTCTTCTTCTCCTCCTCCTCCTCCTCCTTCTTCTTCTTCTCCTTCTTTTAAGACTTTTATTGGGGAATTAGGGAAGGGAAACATTGTGTTTTTCCAGGACCCATCAGCTCCAAGTCAAGTTGTTGTCCTTCAATCTTAGTTGTGGAGGGCTCAGCTCAGCTCCAAGTCCAGTGGCTGCTTTCAAGCTAGTTGGGGTGGGTGGGTGTGTGCAACCCACCATCCCATGCGGGAGTTGAACCGACAACTTTGCTGCGAAGGACATACACTCTCACCAGCTCAGCCACCTCAGCTCGGGCACAACTCACTGGCCCATGTGGGAATCGAACCCTGTTGCTCAGAGCTCGCGCTCTTAACCAACTGAGCCACTCGGCTGGCCCCTCAAGTCTTCTTCTTGACCTGTCTACTTCCCTCTGGGGTACTCAGATTCTTCTGGACCCTCCAGGCTAAAGCTGCAGAGTCATTCTTTTTAACAGATCCTTCTGTCCCCAAATTCAAGTACAATGAATGGATGGACAGATGGATGGAAGGAAGATCAGTTAATTTTCCCAGCAATGAGTTTGCCCACATATTGAGGAAAATTTTGGTGATTTAGTGTAATTCCCACTTCTTCCATCTTACAAGCCTTTCCCTTTAATACAGCTTTCTCTTTGTTTGCCGACCTGTGGACACATGCTCACCGCACCTTCATGCTTTCCTCTGCCCCAGTGGTTTTTTTCAGATAAAACCTTTGAGTCTCAGATAGTTCAGCACACTGGCAG